TGGATGTAAACTTACAAAAAAACTAAAATTAATTAATGTTTTACCAGCATTAGCCTAAACGTTGTTTAGGTTAACGTTAGCTTAATCAGATATTTTCCCGATCACTCTTATCTAAACCAACTACATGAATACAAGGGGGACTTCACTTGATCAAAATGCTGTTTAAGATGGATGTAAACTTACAAATAGCTCAAATTAGAAAATGTTTTGGCAGCATTAGACTAAATGTTGGTTTGGTTAACATTATCTGAAGCGGATATTTCCCTATCACTCTGAATTAGATGAATACTACCGACTCACACACATATTTGTGTGGATATATAAACAAAACAGATTCAGACCTACGTTTAGAAAGGATTGTCTGGTTAGTCATACAAACCCACTATAACTGTTATTCTTGGCAGTAATGTAGCTTTCTATTAGACGAAGTTACAGCATTTCAACAACTTCAACTGAGTAAGTCATTACTATTGCTAATACTCACGTTTTAATGGTGGTTAACTCGATTTAGTAATCACTAGACAAGGTAGTAGTTATTAATTTAAGAACACACAAACTTATGAATGGATTCATCAATACGGTGTCACCCAATCCTGAGCGCACACAACATGCGCACACACAGAATTCACACACACACACACACACACGTACATTTTAGCTGTAATGCCTAAGAACATAAATTATCAAGCAAGTCAAATGAATAATTATGTTTTTATTGCACAAATTATGCCCTGTCCCCTAAACTAGCCAGTCTCTGAAGCCTGGGAAATCTATTAAGGCTGTGCTATAGATCATCCCATCCACTGTGGCGTGTATATAGATCGGTCGGCTCATTTGAGGAATATTGAATCGGTTACAGTAAAGTAAGCCTCTGGATTGAGTCAAATGTAAAAATCCATGCATGTGTGAGGAGCTGTCAGTGTGTGCTGTAATGACGGATGGCGCTGGGTCTCTGTTTCAGCGAGAGGTGATAAAAAGTGTTATTATGAGTGCCGGGGAGGGACAAGGAGTGTGGGGGAGAAACAGAGAAAAGAGAATTGGACCAGATCCGTCAAATGATAAGAGCAATCAGTCAATCTGCGAACGCTTCGGACGATGGAAAGTGTTATTTCCTCCCAGCGCAGTTGGAGTCAAGGGTCGGTGAGGGGTCAAGAGTATGACCTCTGACCTCGTGCTATAGTGAAGAGTGAGACACCAGTCAGTCAGTTATTGATTCATGTTCCTTACAGTTAACCCATGTTATTATCTAGTGGACATGATTGGTTTCCAATTGCAGTGATTTGTATTGAAAGTACTTTAACACAAAAGGAGTGACAAGGACTTGATTAGTGAGTAAAAATCATTGTTCTGTAAAAGATATTGGAGCTCTTCATCATGCTATGTTCTCTTAGCATCTTGAATATCACACTGTAACCCTGTTTTAAAAATAAAAAAACAAAAAAAGTTTATGGACTCCCAGATTTGATCTTATACGTTTTGTAATAAAACCCCGAAGTCCAGAAGCACAATCTGAAACAGGACGTTTCCCAGATCCTGACCCCAGTACTCTACCTGCTGAATTAGCTAAATGTGAAGTCAGTCAAAATTTGTGGTAGCATACCACTCACTGTACTACCACAACCTCCTGCTTCACCCTGACGTCTCTCCCTTTCTGCTTCCTGTCTCATCAAACAGAGCCCTGGACCCCCTACCAGGCCGACCCCCTCGCACTCTGAGACTGACCCGCTCCGAGGTGTGAACTTCCGTCCCCCACCTGATAGAGCCCCCCGATCATTTTTATAGTCCCCATCCCTCGCTGTTTATGACTCTGCAGTTGGATTATAGCAAAGGGGGCTTGGAGAGGTAAGAGCCCCGGAGAGGCACACACACATCAAAGGAGCTATGAGAGGAATGTGGACATTTGTTGTTTGTTTTATCATCCAGTACCAGCACTTATCTGCTTAATCATAAAGGATTGGCCTCGGAATGAGGCAGGAGGGACGCTGTGCTGGCCGAACAAACTATCCCCAACACTGTAATTGTTACTGGAGGGATGAGCCAGATTCATTTTGGTTGTCGCAGCTTACAAGGTACATGGGAGTTTAATTTGAGGGGTGAGCAGAAGAACACTTTAACGTTACAAGTCCAGGCAGAGGGATGTTGCTGTTACGGTAAAGATGCATCTGAGTGATTCAGCTGCAGCAATTCCACTATTTATGCTCCTTTACATTACAGTTTAGATAATGCGTTATCTTTTTTGGGGGGTTGAATAGGGGTGTAATAAATATTCAGTAATATATGTTCTCTTGCAAGACATTATTGCTACACAGTTAACAATAGTATCATGCGTGATTAGGGAAGGAACTCATTATTTTCATTATTGATTGATCTGCCAATTATCTTCTTGATTAATGGATAAATTGTATGGTTTATTAAATGTCAAAAAACATGTCCCTCACAAATTCTCAACAAAAAGATTTTCAATGTTCAATCAAATGAGAGAGAGAGAAAAGCAGCAAATCCTCATATGAGAGATGCCAGAATCAGATATTTCCCTTTTATTACAGATATTTTTTTCTGGAAATGTTTTTTTTTGGGACTGTATTTACATTTTAAACATGGTGATCCGCTGTGTCGACCTCTAACGGGAACAGCCGAAAGAGGAAGAAGAAGACATTTAAATCATGGTACAAACATACATGCGTACATGCATGCCCCTGTTAAATTAGCTGAGATCTAAGCTAACGCTAAATGTAGTCCTGCTTTAGAAGCACTTCATGTTTAGGGTGTGTTTTCCTCCTCGGTAGTACAGATGTATTAGTGTATTGTAGATGTCTGCCTTGTAATATATTGTATCACAGAATCACGTAATCACTGGTCAGCGTGGTTAACTATATATGAGAGGCCACACAAAGTGCATGTACATGTTTACCTTTGGCTCAACTACGGGTCTGAAAATATATAGTTCTTTATGACATTAGCTGCACACAACTTAAAAGCACCGATGCAATTTTCTTCGGAAGTGGTTGAGGTCGGAAAACTGAATCTCAGCACTGATATATCTCATCTTGCTGCTGTAGCACCAAAGTGACCGAGCTGTAGTTACAGTGTGTGAGATACACAACACTTTAATTAAGTCACAGGACCTCGCCACCCCCTCCCCCCCTTTTCTCTCTCTCTGGCCCTGAGAGTCAATCAGACTCTCTGCCCTTCGTTTCCCCTGTGTGGGAGGCCGGTGTGCGGGCCTGAGTAGCTGGGAAAGTCCCATGATTTATGGCCCTTTGCAGGCCTGACTGCCCCTCACCTCGCTGACGATAGAGCCAGAGGTAACGAGGACTGGTTGCTCCAATCCACTCTTCTATTTGCTAAATCCAATTTTATTCATTTGGGATTTAAAGGCACTTCACACCGTTTGCCATGTGATGCACACACTATTGGTAGATAAAATTGGAAAGATTTATCAGAGTACTTCTATGTGTAATTGGGTATATTTCTTACAGGCTGAGCGATAATCACACAGATTAGATGTTAATGATTAAGCACTCCAAGGGAAGAGACGGAGCATTTTATCCTCAGTCTCACATGGTAGGGTTTCATTTCCTTATTCATTACTTTTTTTCTCTCTTTTGCTGTATGCTCCATAGAGCCTTGAAAAAGTGTTGGACGCATTTGCACGAGCAAATTGAAAGTAGCTTCAACTGGTCGGTATGAAAATCTGTTGTGGCTTAATATTTACTTTGTGACTCTTGAGTCTGGTCAAGTGTTCGACACCGCGGTATCAACAATATTCAAGTTTACCGTATTGCCGATAACACACTACCACATGAGGCTGAAGCCCATATTGAATCGTCATGAGGCATTCCACACTTGTTTCCGTCTCCATCGGAGGATCGAGCAACTCTGACATATTAAAATCAACCAACCTTACATACATAGAGGGACACACGCGAACACACTCACCAGCAGCAGCAGGGCAGTAACTCAAGGCCAAAGGAGGAGGTTTATTTTTATCATGGGTAAAGGCGCCAAATCATGTTGGTATGAAGGGGGCTATATAAATGCAAATTGTATTGGAGAGCTATTAGTCCTGGAAAAGGTTTGTATGTAAATGCCCTATAGGACCACAGCGGCGCACTCGGCCAGTTCAGATTAGTGGGGTTTGTGGCAAAAGTGCTGCAAAAGACAAAACTGAAAGAATAGACAGAATATGCAATTGCCTTGTGGTAAATCACGGTGAACAAGGTGAGCAGCTGAGTAATTGAATGACCGAGGTGTTTCTGTATGGTTTATTGTGTATGCAAGGGAGAAGTATTGAGGTCCGTCACCTGTGTGCATTTGTAAGTGGCCATGCTTTATGGTCATTTTGTTCATGTACAGATTTCTTTCTGTACCTAAGTAGAACGGAGTGAGGCCATAAGCAGCTCTGTGAACGTGTGAATTGGTAAAATGTTGAAGCATCACTAAATACTGCCTTGTTTATGGCCTTATACCTCAAGACTAGACTTTGTGGTTGGCAATAGAGCATACTATATTGACTGGAGAAAGGATTGGTGATTATGAAATGAACAAATCAAATATGACACGGGATGCCACAACATTCATGGCCAGTAGTAGATTTAATAATTAGACGTTTGGTTTTTGAGAGACAACACAAGCGCAAGGCCGCCCTCTAGCTTTAAGTACAGAGACTCACAGTCATATATCAGTCATGAATCCAGCATGCAAAATACAGAATTTTATTCTACATACCAAGTACAACATTACAAAAATAACTGTATGCAGAACCAGCAGTTTAAATAAAACTTTTACAGTATATACATTACAAGATATGCATTGACAAGGTTAAGAAGTTTGCGTCACTATCTTAAAAAACATCTACTTAGTTTTTACACTGACAAGTGAAGACAGACAGACAAAAGTGGTTCATATAAAAAATGATTATTGTCCCAGACAAAAAAGTGACAGCGTAGGTAAAACTCAAAGTGCAACTGTAGTTGTTCACGGATCTTTTGCTTCCTGAATTATTTCTTTCGAAACCTTATATTTCTGCAAACCCAGGTCATGCCATCCTGGAAAGAAGCAGACAATGCGTTTGTGCTGTTAAAATTAGTGAGTGTAATCCATGTGAGCCGCAGCTTAAAAACATGTTTACAAACCAGGGTTTGTTGCTGATTTTCAGGCGACTAAAATTTGTCAGGAAATAAGACTGTAAACAATTTGATAACTGGCAGATGGGATGATGTTGTTTCTATACAGACATTTCTATATATACGATGGAGACACAACAGCAAAGCCTCTTTGGTTGTTAGAAACGTGCTTAACTTCGGACCTTTAATCCAGGCAATCTTATAAATAGCATGTATAATTTGAGTAGGGAGAAATCCTGTTCTCAGTTCAACTCCCAGAGTAGGCTGAAAACAACAGAAAGTAACTGCAAAGTTGCTGCTGGCTAGTCAGTTATATGAACACAGGAGGTTTTAATGTGACATGTACAGAAGCAATATTAATGCTGTCTCAACTCTTGCTGTGTTTGCAAACTGTGTGTACTGTAGTTACCTGCACTCCCTCAGCAGTCACTGCTGAGCAGGCCTGGACCTGCCACATACGATCCCGGATAGTGTGCAGATGGAGACTCTCTGCCAGCTCAGACGCCGGGGTGGCTGTCATCAGGTCCTGCTTGTTGGCAAAGATTAGCAGTGGCACAGCAGCGAGGTCTTCCTCCTCCAGCAACTCAGACAGCTCCTGGAGGAACAGACACACAAGGGTTGTCAGTGATATATGTGTATTGGAGTCAAAAACTAGATTATATTGACTTTTCGGCTTTAATTGCACCCAACACCATCAGAAAATATGGTTAAAATTGAGTCTCAATGACAATATTTGTATTATTATTCACACTAAAAATGTCTCATCATTGCACTCCTTTAAAGAAACGGTAATGTGTAGCTCACCAGGCTTGTCTCTTCCAACCTTTTCTTGTCTGAGCTGTCAATCACATAGATCTGCAAACAACACAGTCATAGATATTAGCAAAATGGTTCATAACATGGATGATAGATGCTGAATTTGTTTAATTCTGGCTATTGTAACAACCAGTTTAAGTAAACCACAGACAGCCTACCAATACATCTGTGTTCTCAAAATAATTCCTCCAGTAGGGGCGGATCTTGCGCTGACCTCCAATGTCCCAAACATTCAACTTGAAGCCAGATGATTGAACACTCTTGATATTGAAGCCCTGTTGAATAATGACATAGATCATAGATAGATTTTACACAGGCGAATTAAAGCCTGATTACAAAATCTGGTGACTGGAAAAGGAAGAAATGTGTGTGTGTGTGTGTGTGTGTGTGTGTGTGTAATTTGTACTTGTGTGGGGGTGATGTGGCTGATATCTTCTGCTGCCAGCTGTTTCAGCAGAGTGGTCTTGCCAGCGTTGTCCAAGCCAAGCAACAGTAAGCGCACCTCCTGTTCTGGAGACTGCTTCAGCCTCCGAAGTATAGACAACAGGCCCTTCAGGTGGATCAGAGTGCATATTAGAGGTGATGGACTTCAATGGACCGGCAGGTTTAAAGATGACATGGGGAAACCTGCAAGCACTTTCTCGTTTTGTTGTTACATGACCTCAGCTGCATCGGGTAAAGCACCGATCCTCACATGCCAACATGGCGCCAGGGGCTGGCAGAGGAACCGCAGCATGTACAGGAGGTTTAATGCTCACCCCACACCGACAACCTTCTAGAGCGTGAGGACTTAGCTGTTAGCCGACCTACACATGTATCAGGCCAAAAGCCCTTGTTGGCCAAGATTAAGACATGTGCACGGTGAATGGGTTGTGTACACAGGGTGGTAAGAAAGGCTTTGGCTCAAGCCATTTACCTTGCGGGGTGCTCTGTTAAAATGACAATGCTGTCTCTGAACTCTGTGACATGGAACATGTGCACTGTGCCAAAGAAACAACAGATTTTAAACAGATTTTGTTTTCTTTGGCATTTTCTTGATTTTGTAGCTTTATAATCTGTGGTTTGTCTTCTTGTTTTTACATATTGTCTTATCTGTCTCCAGTTATCTATATTTTCTTTCTCCTGTAAAGCATTAACTACTATTAAGCCTGTATTGTTGAGAGTGAATAATCCCAAAATGAGAATAAAACATAGTTTAGATTAAAACTATTCGAATTTGAAATTGCTATTTTCAGTGACAACTCATATTATCACCGACAGCATCAGTATTAACCCATTGTTGACATTTTCACATTAATAACTAAACAGTGACACAAAACTAATGTAGTAGTTTTCTATTCAAACTATAGCTAATTGCCTTTGTTGTCAAAGCATCAACATACTAAAGTACACAATAATATTAATATGAATTTCAACACAACATTCACTGTCTGTCATGCAATGTTAACTATCATTCAATCAAAATACAGACTAAAATGTCCATGATATTTAATTGATTGATTCCAAAGCAGCCCCGGCTGTGAACCGCTATAACTCACCATGTTTTCTTCAGGTGTGGTGTTGGGTTTAGTGGCCGCCTGCTCAGACTAAAGTGGATTAGCATCTTTCAAACCATGCTTCTTGGTGAAACAACCGTGACGTCAGCGTAAACAACGTGACAGCATCTCTCAGGACCAAAAATGCACCATGCTAAATAAGACCCTTTAAGTATTTGTATGACTTCTTGATGAATACAGAAATAACCTTTGCACTTTTTATTTGGTTTTACTGTGGAAATAATTTATTTTTATTGATTTATTGTTTTACTATTTACCTATACGTGATTTACCTATTGACCTTATAAAGCACCTTAATCGCATATTATGTAGTTTTGTTCAGCCAATTTAAGATAAGATAAAATAAGACAAGATAAGATAATCCTTTATTAGTCCCGCAGTGGAGAAATGTACAGGATTACAGCAGCGTAGTGGATAGTGCAAACAACAGACATAGTAAAAAACAACATAAAAAACAAGTATTATAAATAAGTAAATAAGTAATCTTCTGCATTGAACAGTAATGTCTTCACCTATCGACACAGGACTAATTACAAGACTTTAACGCGCCTTCCGGTTGCAATTCGCCATTAAAAGAACAGGAAGAATTGAACTGTGTGAAAGTGAATTTATATGTTTTCCTCATAAATTCATGGGTTTCACAGACGCATACACAGCGCCCTCTAGTGTTCAAAAGGCGACTGCGTTTCATGTTACTACTACTGATTCCGAGTCAAGGAACAACAAAAACATGTCCGAGTGCGGCTGAACGGTTAACCTGCAACAGTCACCTCAATAGTCAACGATTCGACCGACTGCTATATGATTCCCGTCGTGTTAACGGCCGACAACCCAGAAAGATGCCGCAGAAAGCACTGGGATCCATTGTAGGTCTTCTTTGTACCGGGACCTGTCTGGTGCAGGTAAGCCCGTCGCTAGCGCACCCGGGGTCGGCTGACGCTCTCAGCCGACGCCGCTGCTTCTAGGGTGGGTGAAGGCCTCCTTCCGATCCCTTTTTTTTTGTCTCCTCCACAAAGGAAACTGGGCACTGGTTCGCGGATGACGTCATTAAGTCAAAGTTTTAATTTATATTTCGACAGTTGACTTGCTGGACTATTTTTAGGTTGTAGCTCTAAGATGCACGAGTGTGTTTTATTGCCTCGATTTTGACAAGTTTGAACCAAGTGTGTCAAGATTAACGTTAGCCGATGCTAACTGGTACCCCGTTGAAATGGACGTGTTTTATTCATAGTTGTTGATGTTAGCCAGCGGGACAAGCCAGTTAGCCCCAGTTTGACCAGTTTGAGTCCCTAAAAAGAACCACTATTTAAACTTAAGTCAAAAGTACATTGATAACGAGATTAACCATCACAATTTAGCATTTTATTTGCAGATTTGTTGACCTTGTTTGGCAGCAACATTGACGTCAGCGTCATTGTTTTATTGCTACAGGTTACTCTTAAAACTACTTTTAATGTTATTGATAATTGCACACATTTAGCAGTGACTGCTGGCATTCCCTCTGTAATATATTAAAACATCTGAATGTAAATATTTTCCTTTTATACAGAGAATTAGCACGGACGTGCAAACGTAGTAAATTACCACGGTTAAATATATTCTAGAAATAGGTCAGCCTATCAACGGCTTGCTAAGCAGTTTCTTGTTGACTTGTGTGATTGAATGTTGATTTTCACGTTGTGTACCTCTTGTGTGTATTTTAAGGGGAAGGAGTTCTGTTTCGGGGTAAACAATGAGCAGTACCGCTGTGAGATGGGGTACTGCTGTGGAGAGACAGAATGCTGCACCTACTACTACGAGCTCTGGTGTAAGTTACTTTTTCTTTTCCCAATTATTTATTCATATAAATCCCATGTGTTTTTGTTTGTATCCCATTCCTATTGTCCATTTAATTCAGATGTTGGAGATTTAACTCTAAAGTTTCATGGACTTATCGCCCTTTGCCTCAGGGAAAGCCTGGCTCGGTTCACAAGTTACCTGTGCATGATGATAAGATTACATTGAGTCTGTCTCCCCCTCCCCACTCATAGGGTTCTGGTTGGTATGGACCCTTATCATCATGCTTAGCTGCTGCTGTGCCTACCGACACCGGAGGGTTAAGATGCGTCTTCAGCAGGAGCAACGTCAACGTGAGATCAGCCTCATGGCCTACCAAGGAGCCTCCAGCTCCTTCATTACCCCTCCACCGCTCAATCTAAGTGAGTAGTCTTTGAAGAGGGCCAGACTAGGAGTTACACACTGGGTTGTGGTGGTGTAAGAATAGAAGCATACTCTTCTGCAAATGGCCTGAGTGTATATCTGAGTGTATGATTCAAAGATCATCATCTCACATTGTCAGAAGGGCATCAGAGAGCAGAGATGCCTCCCTAATGTCACTCCTGACGTTGGCTGAAAGTTGATATTGTGTTCCCTAATATCACAAACAGGAGTGGGACAAGGTGTTTGCTTGGTAAGAGTCACAGGCCCACAGTGAACATGTTTGACTTAAAGTCAAGAATGGGAACACAACTCTACCCTATCATATGCTCTTGGAGCTCTTCCAATAGGACGTCATGGGGAACATTGTTCTAGGCTTATTTTTCCAATACCCGACGTAATTTATAAAAAACGATTTATTGTTGCAGCTCTACATAGATGCACAACTGCCTTTTTATAGGGAGGATTGTTTGAAAGCTAAAGCTGTTTGTATTTGTGAACTTTCAGGGTTCTGGAACGACTGCAAGCTTCCGGACTATGAAGAGGTCGTAGGTCACCCCCCGACACCACCTCCTCCTTACTCTGAAAACCCCCCCGAGACTACTCCAGCACTCCTTCCTCAGGTGGTTCAGCCGGACGCCTCGGTGCCACAGCCCCCGCCTGAGGCAGACCTGAGGGTGCACAGTCAGGCCTCGGGCTCATCCTCAGAACAGGAAGCAGTGGCGATGTCGATCCAAGCACAATGTCTGGCAGAGGAGAACGTGGAGGCTTCACTGATGGTGGAGGATGATGAGGATGATGAGGATGATGAGGATGAGGAGGAGGACGAGGAGCTCGTCACTCGACGTCGCCACGTAACCGGCGACTCTGGGATTGAGGTGTGCATCTGCCAGCTGGAGGTGGACGAGGGCTCGGGGCTCGAGGAGGAGGAGGAGAGCGACGAGGAGCACCGGATGTGCAAGGCCACCGGTCGGGACTGCTGCTCCGGGCGCCAGCAGCAGACCTTCAGGCAGAAGGAGCACACCTCTGAGCTGCCCAGCCAGACTGCCGGCACCAGCACGGGAGACCACATGGTGTGATCCACGGCGTAACTTAACCAGCCGACCGGCGTGGCTTCCTGCTTCACGCAGCGTGACGTTATCATCATCAACGAACTAACACACAGGCGTCACGTGATGATAACTAATCCTTAACGACTCCTGATGAGGAAACACGAATAACATTGTGTGGACAAACTCTTTTTTTTTTTTTTTGTCTTGTTTTTTTTTGCTTTTCTTTAAGTGGGGAAACCAGCAAACACATTTGGTATGTTTTTTTTTCGTAGTGCTAAATTAGAGAGCGTCATGGGTAGCGAGACGACAACAATTGATTGTGACTGAAACCAGAATGTGCTCTTGCTCCCACCCTCTCCCTGGGCACTGCTGTCATGTTTCCGTCTCTTATCCTCGGTCATAACATTTCTGGCCATCTGACATTTTACCTCCGGTGGGACGGTCAGCTGGGAGCATACCAACACGGTCAACGACATTTCTCCCCTTTCTCCCCTGTGACTTCCGAAGGCAGAGGAGTCAAAACAAACAAGCCTCTTGAGAACTGAAGTGACGACTGGAACACACATTTCCTCTTTTTTACCCAAAGCTGTGTGCGCTTTGATATCTAGGGCACAGCTGCATTATGATGTCAGCTCTGAGGTCACTGCACCGAGCGTCTGGTGTGATGTCTGTGGGATCAAGAGTGGGGGAGACTATTCACCCACAAACAGCAGAGGGAGATGAGTTCTGTTTTGTCTCCTCCCCCACCAGCTCTTTCTTTCTTTTTGATATCCATATTGTGGCCTCCACAGCTCTGTGGTCACCAATTAGCATGACTGTAGGTGAGGAAGGATTAGTGATTTATCGACTGTGCACACCGCATCTCCCCACTTTGGGTTTCTGGCTGCATTAAATTCATCGTAGCAGCCAAGAGAGAATAAAAAGCCCTGTGGCTCTGTGTGTGTTTTAGTTACTGTTTTATGTCAGAGTGTAGCGGCAGCATTTTTTCTCATTCTAAACATAAGTAGTAATATAGTTCATAATGCAGGATGTACTTGCTTTTTTGTTTTTTCATTTCATAACCAGCTTTGCATCAATAAAGGCCGCAGGTGTCACTGTTAACAAAGCTCCTGGGGGGGAGGGGGTACTAGTCCGTAAGGAAAGGTTGAGTCTTGTGCGTTTTGTATATCTTTATAGTGCTGTAGCACCTGGTTGTCGTACTTGCTCAGCACTGAGGTGGATTAACTATTAAAAGCACCGGTATTTTGCATGAGGCATGAATTTTCTGTGTTCATATTTTGAGTTCATTAGTATTTTTCTAGTAGTTGGGCTGCTTTGCTTTGCTCATCTGCGGACTACGGTGGCTACACAGCTGTGCGCCCAGATGTTGGGGGGGAAGACGTGGACTGGTGGTTTGATCGTGTTGTGTGTGTGTGTGAGCCACGCATTGCTGTGCTGGTGGCTCGTAAGCTGGTGCTGCTCTTCTCAGTGTGAGGGATCTACGGTGGTATTTTCCATTGGCAGCAGAGGGAGAGGGTGCATTAGCAAGTCGAGGTGAATGCAGGCTCTGCAATCCAGTCGGTGTTGGCACAGCTGCAGGATCTATTGTGATTAACTGCCTGCTTCTCTGTGTTGCACGTCATTTTGCCCCCAATGTGTCGCACGGCATGTATTCAAAAGGATGGCAGTCAAACTGGTGGTGAGACGGGAAAAACCGCCGCAAAAGAAAATTGTGAGATAAAAGTCTGCGCAAGAGACGACAAATCGGCGAATGTTTCATCGAGAATTTAGTTGCGGAACAATGTCCGACGTTTTATTTGTTTGCTCTGATGCTGCGTGTCGAAATGGGCACAGTGTAAAAGACTCGGGTCAGTCGTTCTGCTTCACACTTATACATTTCCAAGAAATTATTTCAGGTATTAAAATGAGACCGTTGACCTCGTAACAGGAGGTGACACTGGGTTCTGCACACGTTTATGGTTGTGACTCTTCCATTTAAGCTGCATACCACACACTGCTGTGGCTCAAGTGTAGGAAAACAATACAAGAGGGGCCAGTGCACCCACAATGTCAGTAGAGAGTGAAACAGAAATGAATACACGGCGGCCTAAAGGCTTCAATTGGAAGAAGATTTTGTTTCATGTTTATTAAATGGGCCTAATCAAACATGCCGTTAGCGGCCCTTTTGTGTTCTCGTAGTGGAGCAGGTGCTTAGATGTGAAGCCAAACCGACATGACAACGACCTTTTCAGAGGAGCTGTTACACTGTGAGCATGACTGCACACCCATTAGCAGAGGTAATACGAGACCAACACACCTCAAGCTGCCTCTACAGAGCTAAAGTCCTGCTTATGGAGCTGCACATTAAACAGACGTGCTGCCGCCTTATTAGAGTAGATGTAGGTTCTCTTTAAATGGTAATAGTTGTGTTGTTTCTAGCATGGTTGTGCTTCTGTGGTAACAGAAAGTAGCATCTGAGCTTGTTCCGAGGAAGTGCGCTCGCTTCATGAGAAGAGGATGTGGTTTAAAGACGCTGAAAGCCACACGAGTCAAACTGTCCTCTGTTGTGTAGAGTTTTACTTGCATTGGTTTTTGTATCTGAGGCTGTTTTGTTCTTTTGTTTGTTGACTTTAAAATACTGTGTGCGTAGCGGTTGGTTGTGGCACTGATGGAATTAGTCAAGACCAGATTTTGCGCTCCTCCTGTTTTTGTTCTACGGATCTGGTCCCAATTAGTTTGTGATGTTAACTGGCTTGAAAGAAAAAAAAATATTGTTTTTGTTTTCTATTGTTTTGTTGTGATTCATCCTGGTTTTGTGTCTGGAGGACAAAAGTGAACTCCAACAAGAGGTTGCTTTGTAACCTTCTTGCTAAGGTGCATTTAGCTTATTTCTGTACATATGTAGACGCAATATTCTGGGTTGTTTTGTGCATGAGTGAACTGGAGGTCCATAGTTTTCCCATTGTCAAACAACTACTATGCCTCTCTGGTTTCCACACTTTTACAGAGATTAAGGGCTATACCGGTCATCACGCATCCATCCGTGATTCTTCTCCTCTGTGTTCTTCACTAAAAGCCACAAGTTGCCGAGATCCACTATGCGAGCATGGTCGGGTTTTGTTTTGGGGGGGGGGGGGGGGGGGTTTGGATGATATTTCAATGTTGTGGTGGAGCTCATATATTTACCAATAGCTGATTGTATACGACTGTGTATGTTTGTGTAATAGGCTTTATCTTTGCCTTTTTTTCTGTTTCGTCAACTGGAGGTGCAAGATTTGACCCCCCCCCCCCCCTCCTTAATGCTAACGATCCTTTCTTATGTAACTGCATGTGTGGTTGTGACGGAGAGTTTTTACATTTGGACAGTGACTTCACCCTCCGCCGGGCTCCGTCTTGGTAACAGAAACACATTTGGGCTCATCCACTCATGCAGAAGAAGTGTGGACAGAATAATCTGCCATCTCCGTGCTCCGCAGATCGTCATGACTTGGTTTCCCACTCTCAGGGTTATCTTTTATTAACAAGCAGTGCTACAGTACAGAATGAACACCACCAGTCTCATAACAACCAAAGCAGTTCTTTCATGTTAATTGTTTTCTGCTGTTATTTCTGCATCTCTGTAGTCTATTGTACTTTACTCAACTAGGCTATGCAACAACATCAACCTACTGTTTATATGTCTCTCTCTCTCTCGTCTCCAGTACAAGCAATATAACTGAGTACTTGTGGCACTGTACTGTAATCTACTTTGGTTGGTGTGCGTACATGTATTTGTTTAAGAAAACTTGTAAAAACAAAACAACTTGTAATTCTACCTGCAATGATGTGAGGATGTAGGCTTCAGTGTCAGCTGAGGGGCTTGAGTTAAGAAGCCTTTCTAGTTTATATATATTATTCTCTTTTTCCCTCTTTTTGGCTTTTTCCTCCTGCATCCTGGACCACTAACCCTTTCTACTCCTGACGTATGGATAAACCACATTAATGAGATATTTAAACCAGAGGGGAAAAAGTTGAATATATTGTTTTCCTTTTGGAATAATTCATGTTCATCTTTAATCCGTTTGTCACTTTTCCATCCCTCAGCTTTGTTGCACTAATTCAACGTGTCGGTTTTCTCAGTTAAAACGACGGCTTTGTTCATTTTCATTCGTGATGAATTTTCACTGACTGTTGCCTTTTTTTAATCCTCGGTTGTTACAGTGCCATCAATGTCAAAACTTTTATATATTATACATATGAAAGACCTCAACATGGAACACAGTCAGCTTAAGTTAGACACATTTGTCATTGTTTCTGTCAAACAACTTGTTTTTGTCTCATAGATTAATACCAACGGATGAGATGCGATGGTTGAGCTATTTTCTTTTGCCAAGATGAGAAACATCCTAGCTAATTGTTTTGTTAATATCTTCTTAAACAAGCGTAAAGTGGTAAAAGAGAAAACTGTAAAACACCGATCGCTTTAAAATCCTTGGTTTTAGTAGAAAGTCTGCTGTGTACTCGTTGGGTCATCATTTGTATTTTATTTTTTTAATAAAACAAAGCTTGGCACTCAACTGACCGACGCTTGTATTTCTCGTCTCAAAACTTCATCCGTTTTATCCTCGTTGCCTTTTGCTCCACCCTGATATGCTGTTGTAAACATTTCCATAAATGAGGATGTTGTAGCTCAAACACACTGAAAGCTTAAATGAGGTTTCAACAATGGGCTGTTTACTCTGAACTGTGTGTTGTTGCCAAACATTACATATATAACCCACTTCCTGCAAGAGATCATGAACGATATCCACGGTCGGTCTTGTTTGGTCTTTAATGAGGCGATAGAAATAATTCAGGACAAAGACACTGGATGGATACGTGAGGCACACGGGTTTTCATACAAACATACAGAATATAAATAAAGTAGAGCAGCTGTTAAAGTGGCTACAGGGGGGGGGGAAAGGAAGTCCTCAGTCATTGCACAATTGTAAACAAAGCACCACCTACAGACACATCTGATATTGACATGAGGCCTGTGACCATTTCCACAACATAAAGAAGAATAACTGGTCCGGGTCAACAACAGCTCCATCCAGACGAGGCCGCCTGAGGCCCAACCAGCATGTTTGTTCGGTTCTGCGAAAGCATATACGTCGCATGACGCACAGACACAGAGGTGGACCAAAAAGTCATTTTAGTGTTCAATGTGCAAAGTAAAAAGTGTCTTCAAAAAAGGGAAAAAATAGTCCCAATAAATGAGTAGTCGTTAAAATTCTCTTCAGTGCAAAATTTGTTCCTGGCATTTAAATGTATATTTTAAAGAGTTTGCTCTAAACTGATTTTTTTTTCTTCTCAAATACACACACTAACATCTGGGGGAAGGGAACCGATATTAAATATTTTCCCGAAACACACAAATCACCACATGCATCAATGAGACTGGTCAGTTTTCAATGTAAACCAAGCACGGCTCATAAAGAATAACCTCAACAAATGTCATGCATACTACAACTACAGGGTGAGAATATACAGCATACTCGTGTATATATATAGTCAAAATGATGAGTAGGTAAAAAGCACAGGTATGCTTTTCCTAAAGCAAAGTAGAGATGCATCTTTAGGGACCAACAGTAAGGATGGCAATATTAGCTTTTACTGCTATTTGGTTAGTGCTTCAAGTCGTAGTGTAGAGTAGGAAAACACTGGATACTTATATATTTATATTTCTCAAAGCCATGAAATTTGTCAAATGCAGAAAACGGTGCCAGAAAACAGCAGCTGCTCATCAGTCGTCATACTGCACGTATGCAAGTGGAGACGGTAAGGCCGAGTCGGTGTGTGTCAGGCAGGGGGCTGTGGACAGAAATAAAGTCCTCCTACTGCTTCATCACTACCAATGGCAAAGTTGGACAATGGCTCTTTGTAGCAGGTGATACATCTACTCCGTCTCCCGTCAGGATAGAGCAACCTGCTGCGCTCTACTGACCCACAGCAGGGTCTCACTCTTTGTCTCAGTGCAGTTGGGTCCACGGACCACAGCAGTCCTCGCAATCTCCTCCTCCATCTTTTTTTCTTCGTGCGTTTGTCCTCTCTCAGTAGAAGCGCTTGCGTCGGCTGTCGTTCCAGTGGCCGTAAACCACCAGGCCGATGACGATGAGGAAGATGAAACCCAGCATGGACAAGAGCGCGGTGAAGAAAATGGCTATTCCACTCATCCCCTCTTCACTCTCACCCACTGCAAGAGAGAACGACAGTCAGGGCGTTCGAAAGGGAAGGAAGGAAGGAAGGGTGAAAGGAAATGAGAAATAAAGCAGGTGGACGGAGAGATGACAGTGAAGGAAAGAGTGACAAGCAGCAGAAGAGACAGAAGGAGAGAGGGGAAGGAAGTATCTTTCTTACGTTTGAGTAGCTCAAAGTTATCCACGCTGGGTATAGTTATCTCCTCTTCATCATCCTCCTCCTCCTCCTCCTCTTCCTTTGGACTCCGCAATACCGTCAGTTGGTAGAGTTTCAGGGAAATGATATCATGGTTATCTGCACATTGAGAATAATAAAATATGATTATAGTTAACACTATATCATTTAGATCTGATTATCTGTACTTGAGGAGCAGTTTGTTTTTGGGACAGTGAACGCGCTTCACCTGAGAGGTCTCCCGTGACGGCTGTCGCTCCAAAATAATAGCCTTGGGGAAGCCGCACCCCGGGTATGTCAAGGCAGTCCCTCCACTCATGTTGTCCGTCGATGTCTATCATCACCTGAAGAACAGAAGCAATTCAGGGACTTTGAGACGGTCACGGAATGTAAATACCCGGGCAGCAGGTTTACTGATTTATATGAAAACGTAGAAACCCCTAAAAATCTTGGACATGGACTTAGCATTTAAAAAAAAAGGTGGCTTAAACAAATATTAGCGGGTCAAACTCAGTGCACCCAGCGTATGCAAATAACAGGTTGGACCGTGGCGGTGATGAGCAGTGTGCTCGGCACTGTTATTATCGTGGATGATTGCAGACGGACAGAGTCTCTCACCGTGAGCCTGCGGCGGACGTATCGGATGAAGAGGAAGGTGTCGTGTTTGAGGTTGCGCACCATGGCGTTGCAGCCGCCCACCTCCGTGGGCCGACCGTCCCGCTCGTGGTCGTAGCTGATGCTGCCGTTCCCGACCATGGCCAGGACGAAGGGGAAGATCCTCTTGTGGGAGGAAAAGAAAGAGAGAGAGAGAGAGAGAGAGAGAGAGAGAGAGAGAGAGAGAGAGAAATGAGGAAATACTCCGGACTTAAACTAGTCCCTCATCGTGTGCTGACACAGCGGTGACGCTTTTACAATTAGGTCATGCAGGCTGAGGCTGAAGAAAGAAAAGATGCTCTACGTTATTTTTTTACAAACTTGCATCGACTGTTTCACTTGAATGACACATGCTTTATTTGTTATAAAGTCTACAACGACAAAAACATGTCGGTATTGTTTCAAAAATAAGGGTATGTTTGAAGTCAGATAAGCATGCTTAAGGACCAACAGAGGCTGTACGAAGACGTAGGATTGGGATCATCTAAAAACTGGTTACCTGTGTGCGAGGAGTATATCTTTTCTTCTGCGCCTGACTCAAATGGTTGCACAAAAGAAAACAAAGACAGCCCTTTTACACACATTTGCAAGAGACACTTGTCCACCTAAGGTGTAAGCAGTGCCCCTCCATCATACCTCCAGATGTTTCTCCTCATTGGGATATGTGTCCACAAACACACCCAAGCCAGTGAAGTTGTCTATATTTCCAAACACAGGACCTGTAAAATAATAAGAGGACAGAGTGTTGAGTTGTTATTTTTTAATGGGTTGAGATGAAGTAAGACGTCCTACAGCGCTCACCTTTCTGCACACGTTCCTTAGTGTACCAGATGGCCAGTCCATCACCATTCAGGTTCTTCTTTCCTTGCCCGTGAATCTTAAAGTGCACCTGCATCTCCCAGTCCGTCAGATGGCAAGGCTGGAAACACACGGGTTAAATAAAAACACATAGTGATGCTCCAACGACTTCGCAAGAAACATACGAGACCAAAATAACCTGATGACCAAAGAGTAAATAGAAGCCTGGTTTCACTGTAATTTGTTTTTTTATTTGTAGCACTGTGTCACGCAGACTAATGGTTGGGTTGAGGCCGAGGCAAGAGGAAACACAAATCATAGTGGCATATTAGAGACATGAGGTGTTTTTGCCCAACCACAGTAATGGGCAGCAGCTGATGAGGGTGTTTATTGTGGTTAGTTCAAGATAAGATCAGACAGGGTTAGATCATCAAAGATGATGTCAGACTGTCTGAAAGCAAAAACCAGATGTTAAAACATCATCCGACACCAAACCCATACTTAATCTGTGTTTCACTGGCTAAAAAACTGTACAAATCTTGTTCATATTTACAACCCTTTGATAACTTGCTTGTTATGCACTATGTTTATTGGCATTTATAATGATACGGGTAGAATAAATACTAGAAACACCTAAAATAAACTTGCATTTAAATGTACAAGCCTGTTTTTTTACTTCATCTAGTATTTGAGGGCTCTAACCCTCCCTCTCATCTGCATCCTGTGTCTCCTGGCTCTGAGTATAATAGCAAAACCTTGTTTATTGAAATACAAATACAACACTGTCATAACACACCACATTTACCAGTATTTGTATACTCACAAGGCGGCTCCATACTGCCCCCTGCCTGCTCTGCTTGTCAGGTGTGAGCCGCACCTGGTCGGTGGTCACCATGGCATCTCCCATCAGCTCCCAGTGCGAGGAGCCTAAGGAGCCCACACCTGAGCACACAAACCAGCATGAACAAAGATGACACCGCACAATAGAGAGCAGTGACCCTCTGCTACTAAACAAAACGTCTGTTTAAGGGAGGAAAGGTATAACTAAACGGTCTTTAATGAAGCACAATGTAAGGTATTGAATATGGTATATATATACATATATAAATATATATATAAGGTTAAAAGTATAAAAAGCTTAATGTTACAGCAGCAAGATAGAAATACACGTAGCTCGTTCTGGAAACATCTGTCCCTCAGCCTGCCCCACTGTGACCGTTTATGGGGTGTATAACGGGTGAGATAGCGTTACCTTGGTACGGCTTGGAAAGCGAATACTCCCGCTTCAAAAACTCTTCCATTTCGTGATCATCGTCGGCAGAACACCGGCTCGAGGCAAAAATAAGGAAAGCGAAAGTCCAGTACGATTTAAAAGACATTATTTTCCGTCTGAATGGTGATCTCGGCTCCCAGTAATTATCGCTACTACTGGTGGCGGCCATCGTTGGTATAAACTCCGCCCACTCAATCGTCAGCTTCCTTCCCATTGGTTGACTGTGTTGCATGGCTCGCCGCCATTGGTCCGTGTGAGTGTCAATCATAATGCACGCTTTTAATTGGATGTACTGTACGATCGTCGTTTTGGATAGTGTCAATAGTGAGAATGAATCAATTGATTTATTAAATTGGAAGTATGCAACTGGTGTAATAAGGTAAACTATGAAATTGTGATCTGTTTATTTTTTGTAATTCTGAAACTAAAGATGGAGCTGCAGAATCCTTTTAAACAGTACGTTTGCTGTGACACACACACACGCACACACACACACACACATATATATATATATATATATATATATATATATATATATATATATATACTGTATATATTTACCTCTGACAGGCTTTTTCTGTGACCTCTCTATCTGCTGACAGCTTTTACTAAGCTTGCACTATAATCTACAGTACTACACCATGGCTGGAGAACACACATTTGGATGGCCCCAGGGCAAAATTGAACTGCGGGCCTATATTGACCCACATTGGCCCTCCCATGCACTTTGCATTGTGCATATCTTGTATTCTGTTTAATACTCATATATGCACACAGCAGTAGTCGACACATAGAAGCTTCATTAAATTGTGCCCAGAGCCCCAGAAACCAACCAGTACACCTGCTGCTGGAATACTACCCCACCCTATAGGTTTTCTGTGATTCAGATTTTTTTGCTGATTGAATTAAAAAACAATGTTATTTAGGAATATGCACCATGAAAGCACAATATCAAAACTAGACAGGGCACAGGGGCAAAACACAGATTCAAGAAAGAGGCACAAATGCAGTTTATCATGCTAAAATGCTAAACAAAGTCTGTCAGATAAGTGTAGTGGAGCAAGTAGGCCTAGAATATTTCCCTCTGAAATGTAGTAGTGTAAAGTAGCGTAAAATTTAAATGCTCAAGTAAAGTAAAAGTACCTGAAATTAGTACTGAGTACTGAGTACTACTAAATTAGTACTTTATATGTAGTTACGTTTGACTACTGTGTGTGTGTTTGAGAGAGACTGAAAATAAATATATTTAAATTAAACTTTATTTCAGACACATGGGTCCATATCAAATAAAAAATAAATACAACACAATGTATTATGTATGTGCTGAGCAGCTGTGGAAAACGTTTAGACCACGCCCCCTTCACACTGGCTGCTGTAGAGTTAAGACCGCGCCCCCTTCATGGTCCCTGCCGTGTGTCGGGTTTCTCAGTCCTCACCGAGTTTATGTAGTAACGTTACAGCACTGGGGGATGGATTGAAGGAAGGAAGGCATGGATCCCATTGAAGAAAAAACGAGCAAAGCGGTCGACATATATCGTGATACATGGATCCGCTTCCTAGGTATGTATTGGTATATTTGTATAATTTTTCCACTGTAATGAACAGTGTAGGACAGACACTTAACGTTACACTGGAGCCGTCATGACCCTGGAGCTGCATGTCAGATGCTAGCCTGCTAGAAGTTAGCATAGCTGGCTATAACCTCTGTTAAAAATCTATTTATAGCAAGGTCACTTTTATGACCACAGGACGCAATGGACGACGTCCAAAGACTGGACGTCAACACCGTTGTTCGTGCTTTGTTTCCATAACGTATTTAACTGTAATCTATAGCGTTAGAGTTGTGTCTGTAACTCAGGTCTGTAACTCAGGTCTGTAACTCAGGTCTGTCTCAATAACGGTTGCTGTTGAGCAAGGTGAGGCACTTTGACTCACACAACCACAAAGAAACGCCCGCAGGCATGCCCAGACTGAAAGCTGACACTATTCCTGTGGAAAGTACAACTTCCTGTTTTCGTTGCTGTTCTCTAATTGAAACACTGGGGGGGGTTACTTACATTGGTTACACTAGTATTAGCTGAGAGGGGCGGGTACAGTACTGACGGTCATTCATTCATACTGCAGCAGCAGTTCTCCTGGTGAACATGCCCTAATCTCCTGCTCCTCCACAGCCTTCATTGGCCAGCAGTCATGTGAATCTGTTTATCCTCATCGAAATATCATAATCTATTTGCTCACATCTTTAATCCTGTCTGTGCAGTTGCGTATCTCTATTGACATGCATGGACAGGAATGTGAAAGTGTTCATATTTGTATGGTTTTGGTCTGAAAATGAGCCTTGAACATTTAAAAATAATAGTTAAATTCATGGTGTTGTCAAATTTCATGCAGCATTATTAGACAGATATTTAACATTAATATAATACTCTGAATATTATATTTTCTCCTTTGGAATTGGTACTTTTTTTGCCAAGAATAATACTTTTTTTACTACTGTGGAAAAACTGTGATGATGGATATGCAATAAGCAATGGATTTAACCTGAATTGTGACTGTTTTATCAAACTGAACTGTGTTTGGGCACAGACCACATATTCGCTGACACAGACATATAAAATAGTTAATCACAAAAATGTTTTTGCATACAGATCATAATTTGAACCCCAGCCCATTATGCCAGGGCAGGGCATTTGTGTTATCATAACTGTGTGCCTTGCTGGAAGCTAATCTTATCTGGGCTGTTGTTATCATGTTTTATTATACAGCTCCTATCATCTTATGCTCACAGGGGCTTCTGGAGCTCCAGATTCAGTCGTTACTTTGTAGTATTAAAGCTAGCAGCGTAGAGCTCCATAAAGTTGTCTTGTTGTCTTTTTTTAACAGCAGACATTTTTACTTGTCCTCCTCCAGTGCTTGCAGGAAAAGCACAGGAGTAACATTAAGGATAAGTGTCCCAGTAAGTCGTGACAGTGTGCCAGCATGCACAGTACCAGGACCCTGAAATGGAAATCAACTTTTCCCGCTGTGACATGTCGAAATGTCCTTTTGTGTTAAAGTGCTGTACCAACAGTTATGGATATGAGCAACAACTACTAGGCTCTCATCTTGTTTTTCCTGTAAATTGTTCCCAGTTTTCAGGTTGAAATATATCAAGAGAGCATCATATGTAAATAACTTGGAACAAGATTTCTAGATTTTATTCTCTTGTTCTGTGCTCATAGTGCCGACAGCTGAGATATACAGATCTGGTTTGGGATGTTGGGTTAGATGCAAATACCGACTTCATGTTATTCAAATTTAGAATAACAAACGCATATCGCACTTGTGATTTACTTGTACTTCATCTCTCCCTCTTTACTGAGTCAGTCGGTGTCCTGAATATGTTCTTGTGGTTCTTAGCAGTGCTGAGTTTGGAGTTCATAATCATTGTTGGGAGTAAAGCTCAGCCCTAAACGATTCATTTTTTAGAATTGAAAAGGTCTTTGACCACCGCTTAGAGACAAAAGCTGTCATGTGATTTCCTCTTTTACTGAAGCTGCGGAAGCATCATTCACTCCTGCATCTCTTATTAAAGTCCGAATTTCAATGACATTACACCAATTAAGCCTTTTTCTCTCCTGGGGCCAACACCTCAACTCATTCACTCAAACACTCATCACCAGTGTTTCCTTCCCCCAAATTCAGATAGATCACATTGCATGGAACTCATTGGGATCATTTTTTATGTAAGGTAACATCTGGCCAGTGATTGTGGTGGACCGCTGTGACTGAATGGTGATAACTCTCAAGCACCTAATGATGCTGTAGTGCACAGTGATTATCTTAGTTGAAACCGAAGATAAAAAAATCATATTTATCTAATAATCCACTAATCGTAATGTCATCTTGATTTGATTGCCTTAAGCGGAGAATTAAGACTAAGAAGCAGCAAATACAGTGGCCACGGTATTTGTCTCCACCACACACTGATAGTTCTGTCACCATTGAACCAAAGATAATACTTCCCGTGTGACCGGAGTTCATTTCACCAGAGGTTTACGTTTACTGTAGTGGGGCACAGGTGACTTCATAATAAGGTATCAAAGGTGTCTGAGTCAATCAACTCTTGTGGAATGGGTATTGCATAGTTTTCCAAATGTTGCTCTCCATTTTCACCGACTCAATGTCGGAGATAAAGTTGAAGTTTTTACAATCTTCTTGTATCTTGCAGGATATGTGCTGGAATTTGGAGTGCTCTCAAATGTGACATTACTGAAAAACTGAGCTTCTGAGTGTTTAATGCGCTGCTTTGTTGTTTATAATGGCACAGTTAGCTTTTCATAATCGTATGGGACTAATGTGTTTTTATAGACCTGAGGGTTAACACCTGTTAGCGGGGTGATTAACTGAAGTTACGATGAAATAAGAGGAGACTAAAAAGGTTGAAGTCTTATGTGTATCTTTGCATGTGTGCCCACATAGGCTATGCCAACGAGGTCGGGGAGGCCTTCCGTGCTCTGGTACCAGTGAGCTTTGTTTGGGGCAGCTACGCTGTGGCCACCGTGTACGTTACTGCTGATGCTGTGGACAAAGGGAAGAAAGCAGCTGCGGTAAGATTTACCATTTGTGTGTGTTATCTTCATTGATTTGTTACATTTAGATTATTATGGAATGAGAAAGAAGTATGAATAAATATTAGGTCAACATTATTTTAGTTCAAGATTACATAAAGGTATACTTATTTTACGTTCTTCTTGTGTTATTGGATATCCTTCTGCTGTTTCAAGATGTTCTTATGCTGCATCTCTTCCTCAAGGCCCACGGTGACAACCCGGGGAAGACGACGCGGGTAGCGGCGGCAGTGGTGGACACGTTTGTGTGGCAGGCCCTTGCCTCTGTGATCATACCGGGCTTCACCATTAACCGAGTGTGCGCCGCGTCACTGCACCTGCTGGGCAAGACAACGAAGTGGCCCCTGCCCGTCCGCAAGTGGACCACGACAGCTATCGGCCTCTCTACAATCCCCTTCATCATTACTCCTATAGACAGGTGGGCACATGTTTATGTGGATCATGTATGTGGCTCATTGTGTTAGATTTAATTTGAGTAGTAGTTAACAAAATTAGTGAGAAAGAAAGGAGGGAGAAACAGACATGGCTGGAGATGGGTTGACGCTACCTGTACTTTACAGAGCTGAGCAGATGATATGAAAGAGATGTGTTAGCTTTGGCTACCGGTTATCTGAGGCAGGGACTTAAATTGAAGTGCAAGGGGTGGGTACTGTGGCATATAATGGATTCTGCCTTCTTTGACAACTGTTTGTTCTGCAGTTCAGATCGATTTTTCTGCCGAATGCCAATCATTTTGCTGCCGACTCGTCACCACCCTCGTTAATGAGTCCTTTCTGTGTGAGGGTTGATGGAGGCAAACCAGAAAATATTGTTTGAGGGATGTTTGCTGAAAACTACAGTGCTCAGCTGTTTTTTTAGAAATGACTGACACTGTATATTTGTCAGACATTTTTATGTCTTAAGTCGGAAAAAGTGGGTTTGAACTGAGCACAGTGTTTCGGTCCTTTCATGGAATCTGTTGACAATAAGAAAAATGTAGAATAAGAGCAGACTTATGAAGATTTTCGATAAATAAATGTCTGTTAAGTAACGATCTATAAAGTTTATTCTACTCATTCGAATGCAGTGACTGAGTTATCGAGCCACAAACAAGGACAACAACATAGTAGTTACATATACAACTTTAAGCGTTGCTACAGTTGCTGTTGTTAGGCGAGAAGAAGTTTTCATAGATCACTTCTGCTTTCATGAAATGGATTCAGAAATGCTTGTGTCTGACATCACAATGTTTCCCTTCTCGTACGCTGTAGGTCAGTGGACTACCTGCTCGATTCGAGCATTCGGAAGATCTACCACGAGGACGAGAAGCAGAAATGAGGACGGATCATCCACCCCGCTGATACTAGAAACCACTCCAGCCCACGTAGACCTGTTCTTGTTCTCCACCAATGTGAAGCACTAAAGAATGCTGAAGAAGAATTTCATGGAGCAAGACTCCCCAGTTAGCCACAAATACATATAATCAAATAGATTTTAGTAAGAAATTACATCATTTACATTCATATAAGTAAGTTGAAAGGGAATTCCTGCTTCATGAAATATCTTTTGGGATCCTTAACTTGAACCTCAAAGGGCAATCTTGATAGCGACACCAAACAAAAGCTTGAACAGGAATGTAACAGCATGAATTATTTTTAAATATTCGCAGTGAAGTTCTTCTTAAAGTATTCTTCGGCAGGGACACAGTGTGCTGTTATATTCCTGTGATCCTCTTTACAGAGATCCATGGTTGCCCTCATGGTTCAGAGTTATAAACTCACCTCATGTCCAGATGTCGAGGATTTAAATACAAATCCACACTTGCTGTGTTTTATTAGCCATATTCAGTGGTGCTGTGATGCCAAAAAAGCCAGTTTGCTTTAATGTCCCTCTTATTCTTGACTTCCTTAAAGTTCATCTTTGACTGTTTCTTTCTGAAAACAAAGGTGTCTGTTACTTTAAATACATGTTTCAAGTGTCTTATGCACTTTTCACTATTTCATTTGACCTGACTGTTGGTGTTGGGAGCCAATGTTTGCACTGGGAGCATTTTATTTACACCATGGTTACAATCCATATTATTCTGAATGGTATATGGTTATCTTAAACTAAGAATATTCAAGTTGAACTCCACAAGTATTTGAATTATTTCTCACCAATATCTAAACTGTTGCTCAATAAGTCTGTAGTCAGACAGTCTTGATGTACAATGCTGTAACTTCTGTAGTGTGAAAACATTCAACATCTGTAACTAGTTTAAAGCAGCTTTGAAACATACTTGTATGTTGTACGTACTAGCGTTGAACTTCTCAAATACATGTGGAGGTCAGTGCCACAGAAACGGGTTTAAGGGATTCTTTTAGCAATATGCAGATTCTATACGTCTTTATTATTTCTTTTCTTTGAGGAGCCAAGTCATATACTGTATCTCATGCTGAACTATGCAAAAGGGAACCTGGGAAGATGTTGTGTACACATGTGAGCTTCTCAAATTACAATTAAAATGTGATTTAAATAATATAAGAAGGGATACTAAATGTAACATGAACATTAGAGAAAGAGGAGCTTGCTGTATTGGGAATGGTTATCATTGTCATTTTTTTTCTGTCGGTGTAAACAAGTGTACAACTCGAGCAATAACTTCTTTCGTGTCGCACAATATTCTCTTTGCTGTGAGGGATGCTGTTCAGTTTATCGTAGAGAGAGAAATGCTGGAAAAAAGAGACTGTGATTTGTAACTCGGGGTGCACCAACAATGTTTTGACTTGCTGTAGTTCAGTAATATTTAATGACCAGATCAGGACACACAATGCACAATGTTTTTTTTTTTTAATGTGCGTAAGGCTCCAGTTCATTCACTCAAGTGAAACTTTTTCCTTCTGTAAGTTTAAGGGTACAGACCTTTATTTATGTCGGGTAACTTGACTTGTCATCGCAGGGAAAGCACACGAGTCCAGATGGTTTCTTTAAGTGTCCCAGTAAGCCAGTGATTCAATGTGTATGGTAACATGACTGGGACCCTTTACATGTAATGCACACATCATCTTATTAATGTGCTGCTCCTGCTTTGATAAGCGTATTGGTGCATCCCTTGGGAAAATCCATTTATTCATGTTCAATTGTAACACTTCAGACTGTACACAGGACTTCATTGTATTTTCCATTGATGCACGCGCAAAATGAACGGTTTATTTTTTTCAATGTTTTTCTCATGTGGCAGTGTTTTTCAGAAGTGGGTTTTATGAGTCACATTTTCAGCCTTAACTGAAAAAAAAGGATCAAACCTCAAACTGTTTTTTGTGTGAAAGCAGCTGTTGAAAGCTGAAGCTCCATTCATTACAATGGTTCTGTAAGAACGTCTGACACACTGGAGAAATACAAAATATAAATCTGTCTTGAAATAAATCAAAGTTTAAAATACCATGATATCACTTTGTGTGGAGTTCTTGTAAAGTCTATTGGCTTGTGTTTTTTTTGTGTATCATTCCTGCGATTATGTTCTACATTACAAATATTAACGACAATAAATGCAGAGCCACTTTGCAGCTTTAGGAAGTAATGATTGACAGCTCAGTTTAATGAAAGACACCGTAGCATTATCTACACGCAGTCTGCTTCAAGGCCTTCCTATGAGGACACCTTTCCCACAGTGTGATTTCAAGTGGCAGCACAGCAACTTGCTCTTTGTGCAGGCACGGTTTCCACTTCCTGAGTAACTGCTGCATTCAGATGAAAGAGGCGTAATCCAAAGGGGCTGTTCAACCAATGAACTTGGAAGCACTCAAAGGCACATCAAACCTGAAGTGAATTGAGAGGTTGCAGTTATTTATCTTGATTGAGTCAGGAGGCCACAGCTGATGCCAATGCTGTAAATGAAGAGCCCACTTAAAGGGCTAAGGAAACACGAGCAGCTGCGTGCGCAGTCATGTCTCTGCTTATTCTTGTGTTCGTGACTCTTTTGGCCTCAACAACTGCTCGGGCAGGTAAGAAGACAATAATATTTATCTTCATTTGATCAATTTGCTTAATTTTTTTTTTTTTGTGTGTGAAGGCTCTTGCTCAAAGTTTTCCTTCCGTCTCCTGCACTCCTGACATCTTACCATCTCCAGGCATTCCTCGGTACATCCATGGCCAGTGGGTTATCACTGAGGATAATCCACAGTATGAAGAAGACGCTGATGAACAATTTGTAACAGTAAATGAGAGGATCTGGCCTGAGAGCCCACCAGAAGTTATTGAAGTGGTGACTGAGGAGGACCAGAACTTGCTGACTACTCCAGAACCATATGCTATGACGGAACAAGTGGACGGTAATGCATTTATAATCCAGAGCGTCCGTCTCTTTTGAAACTGCTCATTACAGACTAGCTACATTCACAGATTTGTGTTCCCTGTTAGATCCAAAAGGAGGATCGGCAGTGTGGAAAATCGTCCTGGTAGTGGTCGTCCTGCTGGTGTCTGTAGTGGGCTCTCTGAGCGTGGCCTACTACATGTGTTTCTGGAGAGGAGGCAGGATTCACTATCGGCCTCAGAAGGCGGATTATGCTTAAAAATAAAACTTTTGTGGAGAAACTATTCTCAAGGAGTCTTATGTTTTTGACATTGACTTTATGTGATGCTTGTTCCCTTTACTGATCTCTGACAAAGAAATGCTTTGCAGGAAGCGCAGGCTAGCAGAATGTGAGTGGTAAATGGGAGTTTTTGGCTTGTAAATTTTGCTTTAATTATTTCAGTGGACCTGTGCGTTGGTAATGCAGTAAAGTGAGTTAGTAATGCTGTGTGTGTGTGTGTGTGTGTGTGTGTCCTAAGTTTTTACGTGTTTAAAGGCGTTGTACTTGCGCTCATATGTTAACTATTGTCTTTTGGGTACTTTTCACAGGCAAAACGGTTGCGTCTTTATGTAAACAAAGTATCACAAATGCATGTATTCATGGAAGGGACTCTGTAACTTTACATAGCATGTCGAGGGTTTGTCTTCTTGACGATGGCACATACTAATCATGCATAAAGCAGCCTTGAAGGTATTTTTCAAATTAAATTGTATTTCTGTTTTAAATTAGAAATAATCGAATGTATGTAAAAGCTTCTCCTTACACAACCTTTCAGACAAATCCTGTGTTCAGTTCTTGTAATGGCCACTAGAGGTCATCACTACCGTTGTCTGTGCTGTGCTCCACCTATCCTCTTGAAGGACTGAAGCCATGCTGCCTTGAAAGAACAGTTTCACTATAGAGTACAGTGCATTGAACCCCTCACTTTGGCCTCCAGCACAAGCTTTATGACTCCAACCTCAGTTAGGCTTTAGTGCAGGTAAGTAGATTTGAAAATAAAAAGATAAGATATAAATTTGGATTAATTGAGAAACTCTGTGGATAGCTTGCCAATTGCTGCATTACTATTTCTGATATATTTGAAAGCCAATGTTCTTTTTGTTGGCCAAAGTAATATAGATCACTCATTGTGTGAACTTGACAGTCTCATGCTGTAAGGCCTGAAGCTGCTCACTATTGTCTTTGCTTTGATAATATCTAACTAAAAGTTGAAGTCCTGCAGTGATGTGGTTTTCTCATGAAAAGACTTCTCTGGGAAACAGTTACAGGGCCTGTATTTTCTTTAACCACCAGCCAAAGCTCTTCTCACTTTGCAAACTTCAGTTTACGTTATTGTTCGCCGCCTTTGGCAAACATTTTCTTCAGAATTCATCTTCATCAAGATTGGCAGGCAGGATGTTGGCAAAACCAGCCTTTACTGCTAAAAGTAAAGTAATGTTTTAATTCAGTGTCGAGCAAACCGGCTCAGATCAAATCCACAAACATTTATAAGTCCCCCTTGAGCAATATCAGGTGGCGTTAGGGGGCCCAAGGAGACAAAAAGCTGATGAATTGAATAAATCTCCCCTCCCGTGATGGATGGGGCTGGAAAATGGGGCCATTGTTCATCTGTCACTCAGATTGCCATGTCCCTCTATGATTTGTGCCTGGGTTGTGAAGGCCACAAGTGGCCAAAAGACCTCCCTCTCTCCTTCTCACTTGTCTCAACCCTTTTTTTTTTTTTTTTTTTTTTCAGGAATTCCCAGCCCTTCAATTGCCCCCACCCCCACACTGATATCCATACAGCCATTGCAGAAAAAACAAGTCTTCTCTCAGGACAAACAAACACAAATATGTGTCACTCTTGCTTTATTTTATATACAGTTTTGGGGGTGAATTGTAGTTTTCAATGTGTTCATTTCAGATACGAAATCCCCAAACTGTGCACACACTGGACTAACTCATCATTTTCAAAAGGTGTGTAATAGCATTACAAAGCATAATATAATTTGAATTAAAAAAGAGTTGTATATTTTCCACAGTATAATGAAATGGAAATTTATTTTAACACACAAGTGGATTATTTGTACTATAAACTGAGCATGAAGGGTCCAATAAAAGGTCTGCTTAATACATGTCAAATATAGAGAAGTTGCTCCAAAAAAGTAATATTTCCCTTTGGGTTTACATGCATTATTCTGTTGTGTTAAAATATGTCTTGCAGAGAAACTCATGTCATGCCTTAATTAATCGTCACAATGTCGGTTGTAATCCTCTTTTCTTGCTTTAACTGTAAGGTCCATATAAGTACAAAGTGGATGAGCTTGGCTTGTACCTGGAACTCATTTGAGTTGCCTTGTTTGGCTTTCCAGACTTCCTTGCTGTTATGTTTTTATTCAAGATTACACGATTAACATGTAGAGCGTTCTATGCTGCTCAACGTTTTATACCAACAAACAAAATGTGATCCAGTTTTGGCAATGAACTTGTCTTTTTCCTCTCTTTCCTAAAACACAGAACCTGTTGGTCCCCCTTGGGGGGTAACCTTCTTGGCTCTGAGTCTTTAGACTCCATTGTTTCTCTCAAGCACCTGCCCCTTCAAAGGCACCTGCCCCTCTATGGGAACAGGTGCTAAAAGGTGACTCAAAAGAGGAAACAGAGCTCTGATTTCTTCACTGCTTTTGTGCTATGTGTGGATTACAAATTGAGATAAGATAATATCTGCTGCCTGAGAGCAGGAGATACTGGAGAGGATTGAACGGGAGGCAAAGCACTAGCTGCCGTGAATGAATACTGTAAGTAAGCGACTAGATCGATGTGGCTCTGCACGGGTCCTTGGCCGAGAATCACCGAATAAACTTTACCAGAAAGTAAACAAGACAAGAGTGGACAGCCATGCTAGCTTCTCTGTAGTTTGTACTTGGGCAAAGGGAGGCTTCGAGCTAAATGCTAAAAGTCAGCATGCTAACATGCTTACAATGACAATCCCAACATGCTGATGTTCAACAGGGATATATATATATACATATATGTATATATATAAATATTTCATTAGCTACAATGGTGGTTGCACAATGCTCCTCTTCCTGTCTATATATATATACTCTCTCTCTCTCTCTCTCTCACAGCTCTCAGTGCCCCCCTTTAGTGAAGGATATGTTTGCGTAAAGGCCACTTTAAGGGCACTAACTGAAATGTTTAATGCTCACTTGTCGATTTATTGAGGTCAGCAGAAGGCTACGTTTTGAGAAACAGAAGAGCGGGCTATGTTTGGATTGATTTTCATGAATGATTTTATGCTGTGAGCAAAAGAGAAACAAAAGACAACCACAAAAGAAATAAGGCAAAGCCACATAAAAAATGAAGGGCAAGGCCAGAGCCATGTCACTGAACATTAAACTAATAAATAGCAGTTTGTGTCTGTGAAACGTGAAGACAAAGAGCATGACGAATTCTGCTGAATTCTGCTGTTATGTGGATTTGATCAAGTTCTTTACACTGGAGGGGGTTGAAATTAGCACTATAGGACATTATTGGTATTGTAGTTAGTGATTTATTTTGAAATAGTATCTTTAGAAATTAAAGACAAGCAACATATAATTAGTTACAAGATGATAAATACAATATTTAAGCTAAAAATACAGACACATAGAAATAAGTTAAATCAAATTAAAAATATAACTAATATAATTTTTAAAAACTTGTATGGTACATTTAAGATGATTTAGACAACCGCACAATACAGCATATATTGCAAAACCAGGACCTTTATATCGACAGAGTTACTCCATGATTAATTTTGACTCATGTGGATCAATATGCATTGTCTTGATAAAGATTCAATAAGGTAAACAAAGAGCAACGCGACAGCGCTTGTTTCGACAAAGAAGCTGTCAGTGATGAAGTGGTGATTCCTGATTTGACAGCGTACAGCGTGAGACAGGCTGTGTGCTCTGTATGCTGACAGAGAGCTCCATCTCCCTCTCTCTCTTTGTGAAATGAATTAGGTGAACATGAAAACTGAGCAGACCTTCAGCGATACATTATGTATGAGGAGCTTGAAGGCTCCTACTGAATTCTGTTCAGGTGGCATCAGAGGATGCAGCCAAGTGGAAATGCTGGCTGGTCACTTAAAGCACACTATCTGTGGTAATA